GTGCCGTCTCCCGCGTCAGAGTTTTCTTTGGAAAGTTGCATTTATTTTCTTCCCTTGTCTGGGCTTCGGCGGAAAGGGGCAGGGTGAGTCACCGCGGCGCGCACAGCCCGGGGGTTGGGGGGAGCTGGGAAAGGGGCCCGGGGCCGGGACGTCGTGGGGGTGCTCCGGCTTCGGCCAGCTTCGGTAGAGAAAGAAAGACGGGAGGGAAGGGGGGGCCGGGCTTGGGTGGATGGAGGCCGGGGTGGGTGCGCTCCTGTACCCCCAATCTGCGCCTCGGCTGCCCCCCCCTCCCGCCCCCTGCGAAGGCAGAGCGGAGCCCGCGGTGGTCTCCGGTTTCCCCGGGAGGCCCAGGTGGGGATGGCAAACAGGTGTGCACTTGGGCGTGCCCGCGGCTTCCCGGAGCTCGGCCCGGCCGCGGCGTGGCCTGGGGCAGCAGCCCCCGGGGGGGAAGCGGAGGCTCTGTCCTGCTCGGGTGCCCGCCTCCCCTCCGGCGGTGGGGCGCCGTGAGTTACTCTTTCCTTGGACCTCTGAATCAGCCGCTTTCTTCCCAACGCGCAATGTTGACCTGTTCAAGGCCAGGGGCATTCCCCACGCTTCCTCCTTTCCCTAGGGGCCCGAGGAGGGGGGGAGGGAGAGGGAGGGGTTTGGCATGGTGGTACCTGGGGAGGACTTGTCCTTCAGCTGTTACACAGACCCAATCCCAGTAGAGCTGGGACTAAGAATAGCCCAGCTGCTACTTGTTGCCCCAAGTCTGCATGCACCACTGCCACTAGACCAAGAGCCCAGAGTGACCCTTGCTGGGCTCCTGGAAGGTTTGCTCAGGGGTAGGGGTGAGCACCTACGCCCCCCTTACCCCCTCCCGCCCCGCCCCAGGCTTCTGGCTTCTTTTCCTCTAGTTCTTAGGAGCCACCTGCCCAAAACCTGGGGCTCAGACGGAAAGCCTGGAGAAATCCATCAAGTACCAGGACCTGGGTAGTGAGTGGGCCATAATATAAGGTTACAGACCCTTTTGTTGGATCCATTTCATCCTCTTATTCCTTCCTTATCTCCTCTCCATCCCCCCCCCCAGGCTTGTCCTGGAACCAGGACTGTTTTTCTAAAAGTGCTCAGAAAACGGAGCTTGAGTCAGCCGGATGAGTCCGAAGATAAAAATACAGCTGTGGCCATATAGGCCCCAATTTTAGTGGGCGTGTGCTGGGGGCAGCTTTCCTGTGGCATCCTGAATCACCCTGAGGTCCCCAGGTGCCTCTCCTGGTGTTGGAGGAGTGGACAGGAAGCCTGGGTGGTCCCCTGTGCTCCTACCAGCCCACTGGGTTGTGGCGGATGGCATGCATACAGGTGCCAAGTGAGACCCCCTCAGTCTGGCCTGGGCTCTGGAGAGAAAACACAGAAAGGCAAGGAGGATTGGTCTGAGGACCCTGGAAGTGAGGTTAACCCAGACTTTACCTTCTAGAACTTGCTAACACAAAGTGAATGAAGATTCTGACTCCAAAAGCTAGCTTTATTTAGTTATTTATGCCCATACTAGGTCTTGAACTCAGGGCTTGAGCACTGTCTCTTAGCTTTTCCCAGTTTAGGCTAGAGCTCTACCACTTGAGCCACAGCTCCACTTCCAACTTTTTTGGTGCTTAATTGTAGACAAGAGTCTCACATAATTTCCTGCCCAGTGTGGCATTGAATCGCTATCCTCGGATCTCAGCCTCCTGAGTAGCTAGGATTACAAGTGTGAGCCAGTCAGCTAGAAAGCTAGCTTTATACATGGTCATTCCACTAGCTCCTTCAGTAACTCTGCTTGAAAACTGAGGTTGGAAGATAATGGTCACAACTACTGAGTGGCTTTGTTGTTTATTGGCAAGATACATCAAATAGAAATATTGCTTATAAATATGTAATTGTATAACAGTTTAAAATTATAGCTTTATTAAATAATATATGTAGAACATGTAACTATATGCCTGAGATGTAATAAGTATAGTAAGTTAGCTAGTATTAACTATTGTATCAATCACCAGTGAATGCATGGACAGCACCAGCCCAGACTTCCTTCCTGAAACAGTCTTGTTATGTAGCCTAAGCTGGCCTTGAACTTGATCCTTCCACCTCAGCCTCCTGAGTTCTAGGATTACGGGTGTCTGCTATCATGCTATCATGGCTGGTTGGGGCCTTGTTTCCTCCCCCCACCCGTCCCCCAGGTCATAGGGCTTGAACTCAGGGTCTGGGCGCTGTGCCTGAGCTCTGCTCAAAGCTAGTGCTCTACGCTTTGAGCCATAGCTCCACTTCCAGTTTTCTGATGAGAGAAAGTCTCACGGACTTTCATACTGGAAAGGTTAGATTTGAACCGGGATTCTCAGATGTCAGCCTCCTGAGTAGCT